TTTAATTATTTCTTATTTTGTATTTCAATATTACTAATTAACATTTTTTTATTATATTGTAGATGGAGATAAAAAAAAGATGTTTCATGAGAGAAAAATATTATAAATTTATCTATCCAAAACTCTAATATTATAAATGCACAAATGATACAAAAATTATCAATATTAAAAACTTATTTGTTCATCTTTTGTCCTTGTTTTTGGATTACGCTTGGATTGTATGATATATTTTTTTTATTTTGAATTGTTTTTGGAGTTTAACATCATTTTAGTTTAGAGTGAAATTTATTTAGATTTGAATTGAGAAAAATTATAATTTTTTTTATTTTAAAAAAAATTTATAATTAAGTGAGCTAGTGAGTCAACCTGCTAATAAGTGAGTTGAGTTGGGTTGACTCACTAAGTGACCAACCCGTGGTGGGTCAAGCCGAGTTATCCGTTTTTATAGCTTTAATGCTAGTCACAACTTATGTGAAATATTCGAGATTTTACCTATATAAAATGTTATTGATTTTCTTTTTTCTATTTTAAGTTTTTCTATAACATTGTAAAATTTGAATTACATTTCAATTATTCTGTACAATGAGTTTCTCCATGCAGCTATATGCAATGCCGGTTTTTGACATGATTGAAACAGTGATGGTCAAACAATTGCGTTTCAAGCCAAGCTGGTGGCTACGATTTGTGGAGCGCAATGTTTATGTTGGTGAGCACATCAATCACTCTCTTCTCTCTTATATGTTTTTTCTTATTCTTCGCTTGTTAAATGCCTTTTGAAATTTCTCTCACATTATTGCAACCACTTTGATTCAGCATTTACATTGTTTGTGGCCATCACTTTCCCTTTCTTTGGTTCCCTTCTTGGATTTTTTGGAGGATTCGCATTTGCCCCAACAACATACTTTGTAAGTCCCTCAACCCTCTCTTATATATATCATATCACCATTATATAAGTAGAAGGAGTATAATTTGTGAAAAAACCTGTCTTTGTATGAAAATTATAAAAAATGGAATGTAAAATAAAATGTTGCTGAATGATACCAACCAACATTAGTTGACATAACTTAACATAACTTCTTGTGTCTCTTAATTAAATGGGTTTTTTATATACAAAACAAATTGTGTTAGAAGAGTATTGTTATGATTTAATAATTTATATCACTGACTGAATTTTTCTACAAAATATAATTTCATAGCTCCCCTGTATCATGTGGCTTGCTATTTACAAACCTAGGAAGTTCAGCTTATCCTGGATCACCAACTGGGTATGTTCAACTACTCTATCTATGGTGTTTCCTACATGTTGGATTGAAAATTTGCTTACCTATTGGACTTCCCTGATTTCAGATTTGCATTATACTTGGCTTCCTACTGATGATTCTGGCACCAATCGGCGGATTAAGGAGTATCATACTCAATGCCAAGACCTATGGGTTTTACCAGTGAGGAAACAAGTAGGGCTAGAAAGTGTTACTTGAACTCATTCATCCACCAATCTTTGTGAAATTTCATTTTATAATGAAAAATGCTCTCCTGAAACAATTTAAGCAATAGTTTGTATAATAAGATATTTTTTCTCTATCTCGTATACATTGCATGTCAATATGATGATGATAAGAGAAAAAAGAAGTGATGTTGTATTAGTTGTTGTAAATGTATACCTCACGTGTTCACCAAAAATCATCAAACATTATTCGATTCCGACCTATCTATTTACTTTTGGATTCGATTATTTGTCTTCAGAACCAGGGAATAGATGGTGAGTTTCCAAGCTTTCACATTTAGAAATGGTGGACGACTATGTTGCAAGATACAATACCGATCATACGTTATTTTTAAAAGGGTTTAGAATACAATACAACTACGTCAAAACAAACATATAAAGAAATATGATTGGATTCTATAAATGAAAAAAAAAACTTAAATAAACGTACTTTATAATTATGATAAAAGGGACTCTAGAAGGGGATAATGAATAGAGCCTAAATTCAAAAACTATATGGACAAGTATACAATTACAAATAAATTAAGTATTTACATATAAAAATATAAGATTGAGAGAATGCACACAACAAATTTATATTGATTCTCCTTCACTTGAAATTGTGTCTAGTTTCTTAAACAAACTGCTTAAGAAATTCTATTAATCAACAACTTTGATTAGTAACAAGTATCACCCTCTTCAAGGCAAGAGTTTCAACCTCTCTAGGTATACGAGTACAAACATCTCCAAGTTACACCGAATAACCTTTCTACACATCTTTCTTAATCTTTCTTTGAAGTTGATATATAGTTGTTATGGTACGTTGAACTTTATGAAGGTTGGTTATTAGTTTTGTTGGATGTTGTAGGTGATATCATGAGTGATTTATAGTATTTTGAGTGTTTTATTAGTTCTACATGCATATCATGAGTAGTTTAAGGTATCTAGATATGTTCTAGCATTCACATATGCAAAAATCACATTTTTAGTTTTGATGTGCATTTTGTCGAACACCTAGCATGCATACTATTTTCTCTTAGGCATTTTAATAAACAGATTTCATTTTCACATCTTTGCATCAGTTTAGCTAGTTTAAAAGTTTAGAATGGTTTAATATCATTTGTTTGAAACAATTTATGCATTCATATCTAATTGATCATTACAATATTGTTTTAACTCTATTATTTAATTTATAGATTTTAAATGATTTATCTCCAATGGAAGGTCGAGACATGGAAGATATTAGAACCAAGTGGGCTTATTTTATTTTAAGTGTTAGTAACTTGTACAAAATTACTATAATTTAGTATTGTATAGGTAGATTATTGTAATATTTGGATTGAATATATAGTTTTATGTACAAATAACGTTTTAAATATTATTGAACATTTTATTGTATGAAATGAATTTCACATATTGTTTGTTCGGTTGAGTTTGTTGATTTTTAGGTAAATTGATTGGATGAGATGGTAAAAGAAGGAATAACTTTAAAAAACACAAGTTTTTATGACGTACATAATAATGTATGTCATAGTAGATTAATTCTAAATATTACATATTATTACAGGTAAACAAATACATGTCATAGTATATGAGAGATATTATGATAGGTGAAAATAACTACGTTATAGAAGCTTGGATATTATGATACCTGAAAATAACTACGTTATAGAAGCCTAGGTATTATGACAGGTAATATTTATAATTGTTTTAAAACATATTATTATATGTTTTAAAAACTAATTCTATCTAAATCAAACATATAACTATAATTCTCCTATGTATCTTAATATTTATAAAACAACCTAACTATATCTCTAATATCTCCTCACTTATAATAATATGTTTTAAAAACTAATTCTATCTAAATCTTTATTCTCCTTCTATCTCATGCCCACCATCTATCTTTTATTTTATTTTATTTACACACTTTTACTTCTTACACCCCTCTCTATTTAATTTCTTCACTAATTAAATAAAGATAAAAGACCATTTTGTCCCTAAAAAAAACACAAATAAAACAAAGGTTTCCTTTAACTCCCTTTCTGCCTATAATTGAACCCATACTCATTCAATCCAAAGTCATCCTTCCATTAACAAGCCAACATATCACATTGATAATATAACACACATCAATCACTCAATTATCAATATATCAATCATGCGTTGCATTTTATTAATAATAACATAAAAAAATAACATAATTATGTTATAACAAAGATATTCATATACAACATCTTATTAGACATATCAACTCTTAAAAAAAACACATACTCAAATCTTAACAAAACTTTATTTCTAAAACTTTTATTCTCCTTAGGTCTTATATAACCCAAAGTCTTATCTCTTATTTTCAAAGATTTTAGTAACTTTTATATTTTGAAAAACTTTAACCTCGTGAACGAAACTTTATTTGTATGATTGTGTAGGATTCCTTTATCCATTTGATCAGGTTTTTTTAATATACTTAACTCATAGGACTTCAAGATAGTAAAATTATTTTATTTTATGAATTATTACAATAATTTTACAATTTCATAATTTTATAATTTTATAATTTATAATGTTGTAATTTCATTATTTTATTATTTTATAATTTTATTATTTTGTAACTTTATAATTTTAAGATTTTATAATTTATAGTTTTATAGTTTTATAATTTTATAGTTTTCTTATTTTGTAATTTTAAAATTTAATAATATTATTATTTTATAATTTGTAATTTTATAGTTTGTAATTATCTAATTCTCTAACTTATATTTTTTTATATTTAGCTTTAAAATTAAATTTCATAAATGCATCAAATTCTTGAGAGATTTTTGTTATCATGATGTCTTATGACATAATGTTAAATTAAAAATTTTAAAAATGTAATATACTACAAAAAAAATTTAGGAACTAAAATCAAAACTTAATTAAGTCTTATTTTAATACAAAAAACATGATCGATTATATTTTTAGTACTTCATATCAAATGATATTCTTTTAGATAATTGATTTTATCTTTCGTATAAGATTTGTTAACGATAAATCATTGAACATGATAATTAAGAAAAAAAATAGTATAAGTAAGCAAAATATATTTCATATATTGATTTTTGTGATGTTGATATATTTAAAAGAAGAACTATTATTAAATTTTGACATTTATTATTGTATGAATAAATTTATTGGTTCAAAGTATTTTCAATTAAAAGATATTGACTTGATATCAATCATTTTCCCAAAACATGGGTTTAATAAGAGCCAATCTGTAATTTTCAAGATCTATTTCAAGATCTATTTTAGTTCCCGCAAATGCATATTAATTATGCCCACAATTATTCAAAATATCTTATAAAACCATTTCAAATCCGTGATAATCAGAGGTTATTAATTTTCCAACACCCCATTAATTGTGATGCATAGAGGTATAACAAATGACCAAGAAAAGCACACCAAAGCATATGAAACCAAACCAAAATCAAAGTTCTGAAAATGATAAGTATTATAAGAATCATAATAAATAATATTAAAATAAAAGAGAGAGCAATCCTAATGTTGATATTTGTAGATGCAAACAAAATAAGAATACCTATCTAATTTTCTGCTCTAACAATTTGCCCCTTCTTTCTCTAAAAAACTGAATCCAAAGATTACAAATCCACATGATACTAACCCCAATGGCCATGACCACCACCAAAACCCACGAGACCCAGGCCCAAGCGGGAACAAGCCCATACCCGCCCCCACTTGCGTAGAACGTCACCATCCGGTACATGAAGTAGGGCCCAATGAAGCCCCTCACAACGGAGTAAACCGCAAAAAACGGCGGCGAGAGCGCGTCGTAGAACCTCGCAGCAAAGGGATCCTCGCGACGACGCGCGCCGGCCAGGGTCCACGCGTTCTGGCACGCGCTGGTGACCTCGGCGAGTACGAGGAGCACGAGGACGGAGAAAGCCCCGTGCGATACGGCGTGCCGGCACGTGAGGACAACGAAGAGTGTAGCCACGTGGTGCGCGATGAAGAGCACGTCGCTCGGGTAGAAGGCCACATAGTGGAGCAGATCCGTTAGGAAGTAGGCGGCGCTGAAATCGAGGACCAGCTTCTGGAAGGCGGTGTTAGGCGCTGCGAAGCCCCGCTGGTGGTCGGCGAGAAGGGCGGCACTGCCAAGGAGCGCGGCAGGGGTGCCGTGGAAGATCGAGATCAGGCAGCTGGAGAATTCTTGTCGGATCTTGGTGGACTGTTTGCGGAAAACGATGAAGTAGCCGACGAGGTAGATGGCGAGGAACATGAGGAAGAACGGCAAAAGAACCCAGCTTTGCAACGACGCTAACGAGGTTCCCATTATTTTTTAGTTTTTTTTTAACCTACGTTGTGTGTTTTGTGTTTTTGTTGGAATGGGAAAACAGAATATTCTGGGTTTTTATTCTGATGCCCTGGTGTTTATGGTTTTTTATGAAAGGAATGTGGTTTTGGTGAAGTTAAAGGAAGCGAGAACGCGATAGGGAGAAAAAATGGAGATATGATGAACTGGGAAATGGAATAAGCAAAGCAAGCAATCGATCAATGTGATGAACAAACTGGACTCGTTGTTGCTTATTGGGCTCTTAAATGACTCGCCTATGGGTGTTGCTCCCTCCACCACCACACCTTTCTTCCTCCACCTCCCCTTTACTATTTTGCTCTTAAATAAAATTTTATTTTTAGGGTTAATTTTTTTAATTTTATCCATTCACAACCTATTCCACTAATAACCTATTTTAGTTCCTCCTACATGAGTAAAATATTTTTCTTTTATTTTAACATTATTTTTCTTCATCTCTTTCTTTTGTCGCGGTGAGATACTACAAGTTGTAAAGGTTGGTGGTAGTGGAAAGAATTATCAAGTAGTCTCCCTCTCGTGGTGCAGTGTCGCTCTCGTGATGCAGTGTCGCTCTCGTGGTGCAGTGTGTGGAGTGGTGCAGTGCGTGTGTTGCTTCCTTAAGGTGTGTTTTCGAATAAAACTTCAAATAAAACCCTAAAATAAAAAACGTAAAATCCTTCAACGGATGTCAACATCCGTTTAAGGAAAGAACGGATGTCAACATCCGTTTAAGGAAAGAACGGATGTCAACATCCGTTTAAGGAAAAAAACGAATGTCAACATCCGTTTAAGGAAAAAACGGACGTCGACATCCGTTTTTTCCTTAAACGGATGTTGACATCCGTTTTTTTTCCTTAAACGGATGTTGACATCCGTTCTTTCCTTAAACGGATGTTGACATCCGTTTTTTCCTTAAACGGATGTTGACATCCGTTCTTTCCTTAAACGGATGTTGACATCCGTTCTTTCCATAAACGGATGTTGACATCAGTTCTTTCCTTAAACGGACTCCGAGTTACGTTTTTAATTTTAGGATTTATTTTATTAGTTTATTCTTTATTTTGGAAATATTTTAATAATTTAATTTAAATGTTTTGATTTATTATTTTTTAATATATTTTTAATGTATTTTAATAATGTAAGGAAAATGAAGAAGAAAGAATCGTATGAGGAGAAGTGAAACGGAGAAGACAAATGGAGTTGTAAAGTAAAACAGAAGACAAATTGTTAAACGAAATTGAGAGATGGAAAGATTGAGTGCAGAGAGTAAAGTAGGAGAACTAGGTTTGGAATAAATTAAAATAATTAAAATAATAAAAATAAAAAATTTTAATTTGAGGATATAATTGGAATTAAAAAAAATTGGGGAGGTGGAGGGAGAAAGGTGTGGTGGTGGAGGGAGCAACACCCCTCACCTATTGGAGATTTTACAAATTATCATATTTAAGGGGTTTCTTCTTGCACCCCATGTGTTTTCTTTCTTCCACTTTTAAACTTTTCTCTTTTTCCATTTTACCCTCTCCGTAATATTTTTGAAATCAGTTAATTCAGTAAACATATTTTTTAACCGAATCTGGGAGTGAATACTGAATTACTGAATCCGGGAGGTGTAAGAAGCAGAATGTAGGATCCGAATTCAAAATTTCAGGGAGTAATGTTTGTGTTCCAGATTTCTCAATCCAGTGAATGTATCTTCTTCTTCATCCGGCTCATCCTATTTGACCAGCAAAACCAACACACAATAGTCTAAAATAAAACCACGCTCTCCTGTTTTACTCTTTCTTGTCTATTTCACGTCCTTACAACTTCTTCAACCCTTAGTAATGTAATGTGGAATTTGCATAAATAGATATTCCTGTGACTTCAAGGAAAAGTGAGATTGTGAGTTCCAAACGTACCGGATACACTGTCATTCTTGTAACCATACCCTCTCAAAAATTATTCTCTGGATTGTATGCTCGCGTTGCCAAACTTTCTGAATTTAGTAATTTAGTACATACTCACGATGGATTAACCCAAGGGGCCATTTGGATGCACAACTTTCTTTAGGGTAAAATGGAAAAAAAATAAAAATTGGAAAGTTAAGTATGTTCTTTTCCTAATATTTTACACCAAATTAAAATTTGTTTATATATTAAATTTTAATATATTTTAGTTTTCAAATTATAAAAATAATTGAATAATATATTTCTTTTAATTTAATTAAGTTAAATTTTTTTAATATGTTAAATATGTTTTTCAATTAATAATCAAGTAACAACATTTAAATAATATAAATAATTCAAATGTTAATATAAAACGTGTTTAACATGATTAGGGAACTGCGGATAAAATCCGTAACGGATAGTTGGTAGCCGCAGATATTTACTATCTGCGGGTTGTAAGTAGCGGATATTTCGCTTATAAACAGGTCGGATTCGGGTATTACATTATCTGATCCGTAGATATCCGTTACCCGTTACAAAGTTGAAAATATGTTTTTATCCTTAGGTTTAAACTAGGTTTTATTATTTTGTCCCCTTGCCTCTTTCATCTATGCAATAGTCTCTCCCTCCTGCCCATGCTTACTTTTTGTGCCACCATCAGAGTTCTGTGTTGGACTGTGCCAGCCACCATATGCACATTGTACCATCGTTGGTGTTCAATGTCAAAGTTGCACTTTGTCGACCAAGAACGATATCTCTTCCAACTATCTCTTCGTTTTCCCTAATTTCTTCTTGCTTTGGGTGAGTTCTGTTATGACTTTTGGAAAATATGCATGCACATCCCTTCCTCTTTTGTTTCTCTACACGTTTAGAGAACCTAAATATAGGGACAGAATCGAAAGTCACCTTAGAAACGAAATAGGGTTTTGGAGTTTTGGATATAATAAGGTTTTTGATATAAATGGATGGAAACGAAGTAAGAGAGACAGAAGGCACTTGATTGATATTTGACTTGATATAAACAACTATTCTTTATTTATTCTTATACTAAATCATAATATGAAGTTCTAGCTACACGAGGAAATAAATCATAAAACTAATATATGAAAATTAATCCCAAGAGATAAGATATTCTATGATATTATGTAGATATCATTGGATATTCTTGGTATATTCTAACAATTCACATGAATGATATTTAAGTTATGTACTGTTCTGATTATTAAAGGAAATGTATATATTGTTTTTTGACTCTGAAACATATTTAACCTTTAAGTTGTATATTGAATATTTTTTATTAGATTACTTGTAGTCTTGGAGATGAGAATATAAGTGATTCAACTATATAGATAAAAAGATTTGATGGATGGCTTAGTTGATATAGTGTGGAGGGTTGATCTTCTGATTAATAAGCTGGGTAAATAGAAGAACATTTTCTGTTATTAAGAAAACTGATTGATGTTGATATATCTTTTAAATTCGTTTATACTAAAATTGGTGTACTCATATACGGCCAAACTTGTTCATAGAGAGAATTAAAGTCAGATCACATAAGTAATTTTTTGACTGAAGCTGCCTACTCAATGAGTTCATATACTGCATTACTTTATGTAGTACTCAAACTATATTTCGTTTTCATCCCTTTATACCTAAAATCATGTACCAAGGATGGCTTTAATGTTTAAAACGGTGAAACTGAAACTGTCTAGTTTTCACATAATACAACAGTTTCAGTTTGCCTTAATGGTTCTGCTACTTTAATAGTGTCACTTTGTCATTGTTTACTTTATTTTTATTTATTTATTTCAGAAATTAAGTGGTCAAAATAAAGATACAGAGAATAAATATAAATTTGAAATGTTATTTTTAGAACAATTATTTTTAAAATTACTTATTTGGATATATATTTTATTATTAATTCGTATTAATTTGAATTTATGTTTTAACTTTTATTTACTTATTCATTGGCTTCTTTTGAATATATGTTTTAAGTGTTATTTATATTTTTTTTCAATTTAATCTGGATTTCATTTAAAAACTTATAAAATATTTTTTTTAAAATTTTCACAGTCTAAAAATGGGTATCCGCAGGTTTAAAAAAATCTGCAATTTTTTTACGTAAATATCCAATCGGTATAGAGTCAGATAGTGGGTACAATTTTATCCGACAGGTCAGGTTGCATATAGACACTATTTGTTCCTGACTCGACCCGTCATCCCTAAACATTATAATCAAATTTAGTATAATTTAATTAATATATATATATATATATATATATATATATAAAAGTTTAAAATATATCAAAATTTAAATAAAATAAATTTTAATTTTATGTAAAAAAAATTTAGACTAAAATCATATCTAAATTAATATTGGGACTAAAAAAATAAGCTAATAAAAAGTCTCCTTTTTTATCATTTCTAATCTGTAAATATTTTATAAATATATGTAAAACAATAACTGTTAAATAAAGTAATGAGCTTTCTAGTTAATCTTAAATAATAGAAATAGTTTGGTCTGGATAAATTTTGTTATGACAGCATGCCTAACTCATTAATCTGAATGTAAAACACATAGGAAGGAGTAGGTACAATTACAAGCAACTGTTTCTAATTTTAAACAACTACAAAGTATGTGATGCATGACAAAAAAAATTTCTTGCAAACAACTCTTACCAATGCAAATTGGATATTAAATAATGAAATTTGTTTGATTATATTATTAGTTATTTATTAAAAAAATATTTTTGCGTAAGTTTTTCAATATATATATATATATAT